AAAAGCTATTTTTTGGGCATTTTAAATAAAATACCCAATTCACATTTTCCCCACCACCTATGCAAAAGGGCGCGTTACCGAAGTTATTTTTGGCTGCTCGGTTCCCCAGTAGGCCTATATCACCCATTAAAAATTTATTTACATAAAAAAATGAAAAAAAAACAAAACGATAACAATTCATATGTATAACAAAAAACAATATCACAGTATAATAATAAAGTATAATACTTAGAACTATAAAAATAAACTTATGTACATATGCCAATATTTATGCCCCAAATTCTAATTTATAATTAAAAACTTTCTAATCTATATTGTTCTAACCTTAGAGCCTCTTAATGCGAATCTGCTTAAACCACCTTAGTTTCGTATAAGTTACTTAGCTCATTGCAACCAGTAAAGAAGGAAGATAAAAACTACAAATGTGAAACACACAAAATTGTATTCTTAAAATTGGGTACAGATAAATCTTTATTTAAAAATTTTGTCAGAAAATAAATTCTAATTCTAATAAAAAGGGCAATAACCACCTTTGGGTCACAGTCTTCACAACACAAGAAGGGCCTAATATCTTTTAATTTAGAAAAACGAATTTCTCCTACACCTATTTTATGACAATTTCTGTCAAATTCCTCGACAAATTTTATTTCTAAATTATTAATAAATGCAACAAACTCTTCAGGGGGCTTCACTAAGTTGCATTTATTGATCTGGTTTTGGTGTATGAAGATGAATTCATCCGAAGGAATTTCATCTCCTAAATAAGTTAATGGCAGAATGCATGTGTGCATTTTAAAAATGTTCGAATAAAGGTAGGTAGGTTGGTATTTTAAAGTACGATTTTTTTTTTATAACTATCATAAATATTCAATGATAAATCGTTACTTTAAAATAATTTATTTAATTAATTAACCGCAATGGCAAGAAATTGACAGTTACGCTTTGAACACGTAGAGCGCGACAGACTGCAAGCGACATTTGTCAAATATTAAAATACACACGTTCTTAAGGACACAGCTATTAAGGCCTCTGCACGACTACATAACTGTGTTCATAAGAACATGTGTATTTTATTATTTGACAGATGTCGCTTGCAGTCTGTCGCGCTCTACTAGTTCAGCACATCACACTTAAAAACACACGGAAATTCAATTTCATTATCAAAAATTACTATTTCCATTGCACAATCCAAACACTTATTTCAACAAAATTTTCCACAAATTCACAAACACTTTTTGCACTATTTAATGTTTTTCACTCACCGTTCGAGGTCCGTTCCACTGTTTGGAAAACTAAAGGTTCTTAATCCCTCGTTGCAGCCAACAATACACTTTCGCCAAATGCTGGTTGTTTTCGGCATTTTATCTGTAAAATAAAATAAAAAAGTATTAAATAAATGCAAAAAAATGAAAAAATTTGGCGGAATATCAATCTGGCCATCGCTCGTTTCCAATTGCTAAACGTCAAAACCTCCTGAACTCGATCAACTGTCAAAGTTGACTTCAGTGAGAGAGGAGTTAAACATCTCTTTATCTCTGATAATCATTTGCGAAAACGCGTCGGGTAAGTAGGTCCGAGCGCACTTATTTGTTTAATCTATATTTTTCATTAGGCATCAGAGCCAGAAATATTAAATTATACTGTCGGAGTAAAACAATATGAAGAATATATAAAAAAAAATTAATGAAAAATAATTATAACCAGTGATTATTACCCTCTACAACTACAGTAATAAGCAGAAATTCGAATTGAGACCAATGATCCAGTTTGGATAAGACAATCTTCATAAAAATGTTATATTGGATACCAATACCGTGCACCACCCATTCAAATATTGATGGCTGCGGATAGCAACACGAAAGGTCATATACCAAATGCATTGCACCAATCTCAACGCAGTATACACTCTCGCTTGAAAACTTTCCGGTGCCAAATGTTCTCACTACTTTGAGTTGTATTTCAGGTACATTTCTGTACTTTACGTATTCTTTATTTTTATGGTAAACTTTGTCGATATTATCAGACTTAGGGCTTGTTGTTTACAAGAATTTGAACTCCTTTCCCAAATATTTTACTTCTCATACTCTGCGAGTCTTTAGATAAGTGATGCCGTCTTCAAATGGTTTTAGGCTATTCATCTGATCACATATGTGATCACGACATTTTTTGTATTAATTTTATTTTGTTGTAATTGTAATTGGGGTATGTCTACATTTCTGCGGTATACATATTCTTTTTCAACTGGTACTGATTGAAAATTGCCAGCCTCAACTGCGCCTAATCTTTGATGGATTTCCAGAAAAACTTGTTGCTTTGACTGATTTGTTCCTTGTAGCTTCCATTTTTTATGATTTAATTTGTATGTTTATAAGGCCTTTGTAGGGAGGGGGTTTCATGTTATGAAATTATATACCTTTTTAATTTTGTAGCACTAACTAGAAGGATTTTAATTTCAATCCTTTTGTCGCTAGGGTCCCACGTTGGGCGCCAGTAAAATATTATATATCCTTAAAACTTAAATATTTAATTAAATATAGAAAAAAGAACGAATGTACGGTAAAAGCGGCATGTGCTCTGGTTTATATATGTAAATTAAAAAAACTTATTATGAAGCTTTAGCTATCGTTTATTGTTACTTTTAGACTGACCGCTTTTACTTAAATCAAATCGAAGCTAAGCTTAGTTGAGTTGCTGTTATTGCTGGCATGGACGTGGCTGAAGGGAAAACTRCTGAGCGCGAATTCTGTAGAATCGCTGTAAATATAATTTTTTGGAAGAAGATGTGTAAACGCAAAATCAGGATCTCTTGAAATTGGGCAATTTTGTAGTAACTTATACAATTCTTTGTAGACTGCCGTGGTGTGGTGCTAAAGTTCTCTGATTGGTCAACGTTCGTTGTAAAAGATAAGTTTGTTACGAGGTGTTCAAAAAGTATCGCGAATTTTGAATTTTCGCGGGTTACATATATTCGAATTTCGAAAACCCAATTTTGTGTGATTTGTTAGATTCTAAAGTTTTTCGACAATAATATTTGCTAAAATAAATTATTATATTTTTTTTAGTAACTGATGAAATAAAGTATTATGATGATCGCGTGAAGGTATAAAAACAAATTTACATTTACAAACAAGTATATGCTATATAGCTATATTATTAGCGATTATCGATTATTATTACTAATTTATTATTTTCCAGTGTCCACTAATCTTATAAAAATTAATTTAACTATTAGCTAAGCTCTTCTGCTAAGATACTAGTTAAATTAATGTCTCAATTTCTGAAATTATATTTCCCTTTCTTGAAATCAATATTTCGTAAAGGTCGGTGGAATGAATCTGTTAACCTCTTGTACTATTGATAATTTGATAAACAGTGTCCGTTGAATTATTTATTGCATAGCCTTGCCTGTTTTCTGCATAAAAAAGCTTTCGCAATAGGACCATCACACACTTTATTTTGTCAAAAGGTATTRTTCTTTAGCAATGCTTTTGTTGTTTCGCTTCTTATTTTAGAAAGTAATGTATCAACTATCAATGGGTTTTCTTTGGTTACAGAATGTGCATTTTATTGATAATATTATAATCAATACTATTTTCCTGGTTTTTAACAATTTACACTTTACAATCGCGGACCATAGAGACGCCGAATTTGCCTTTTTGAAGTGTAAGGAAAAGGTATTTTTTTTTTTTACTCAAGCAATATGTGATTCAAGAGCATGACAAGCTGGCCGACARGGGTAATGCTCGAAAATTCTAAGAAAACATTCGGGGTCTAACAAAAGGTTTCAAGACCGGAGCATACTCTTGCGAAACCTCCAAAAGTGATGCCCAGAGCATTAAATTACGGAGGGAACACTTCTCCAACCTGCTGAATGGCAGTGAACGTACAACGCCAGGAGAAGGCGAACCCGATTCCCCAATCGATGACGATGGATCAGACGTTCCATTGCCCGACCATGAAGAAGCTCGAATAGTAATTACCCATCTGACGAACATCAAATCAGCGGGAGCCGAAGGATTGCCGACCGAGCTATTCAAACACGCCGGCGAATAACTGATWAGCAGCATGCATTAGCTCTTTATAAAATATAGTCGAACGAAAGCATGCCCAACGATTTTAATTKAAGTGATGTATAAGTATCCTCAACATCGCGTATAAGGTTATAACGAGCGTATTGTGTGAAAGATTAAAGCCCACCGTTAACAAACTGATTGGATATAAGTGGGGCTTTAGACCTGGCAAATCAACAACCGACCAGATATTCACCATGCGCCAAATTTTGGAAAAGACCCGTGAAAGGAGATTCGACACACCTCACCTCTTCGTCGATTTCAAAGCTGCTTTCGATAGCACGAAATTGGTATCATCGACCTCAATAACGCATTTATTCTGCTTTCCCCAGAGGGCAAGACGAAATATGTCTTGCCATCAAACAAACAGTCGTCACACTCGCGATTTGGCTCTCACGTCACTGTTGACAGTCATAATTTTGAAGTCGTAGATAATTTCGTCTATATTGGAACCAGTATAAACACCACCAACAATGTCAGCCTGGAAATCCAACGCATGATAACTCTTGCCAACAGGTGCTACTTCGGACTGAGTATWCAATTGAGAAGTAAAGTCCTCTTTCGACGAACAAAAACCAAACTCTATAATATTCCCGTCCTGCTATATGGTGCAGAGGCTTGGACGATGACAACAACTSATGAGTTCTGCGAAAGATATGTGGTATTTTGCACGTGGGCCATGGCAAATATCGCAAAATAATTTTTGTAAAACATTTTTAATCTAATACGGTTTCAAAATCACTGTCTTGTAATTATGTTTTACCACACTTAACACCATTGAAATGCACATACATAGTAGTTACTGGGAAATCCCCTTATTCGATAACTCTTACCTACACATTTTGTTCGCTTGATGTTTACATTGCTGAAAWGGATACCTCCAGCGACTTTAGTCCAGTTCGTCGCAACCAATTGTGCTTGTTATCAAGTAGCGAGGAATAATTATGTAGCTATRTAAATATGTTTTACTTATTTCTATTCTAATTTTCCTGTTCTTAATTATGGATTAACAGATTTCTTTTGTTTTTGCTTAATCTACMAATTTTTCACCTGTATGAATTATGTATTTTATGTTTTAATGCTCAATAAAATGCCATATGAACATACAATTTGTGATATCTGATATATGAAATTTTATAGTTTTCAACATTTTGAATATAGTTCTCTGTTTCATCTTATACTGTTTTCAGATGACATGGAACGTATCCCCCATTTTACTACAGGAAATGCATCTTTTCTTACACGGATTTCTGACGAACATATCTACCGTGTAATAAAAGAGTCGGGTGTATAAGTACCAGCAAATCCTATCTGTGCTGGACGTAAACTTATTGGAAATATCCACTTTAATTTTTGTATTTTATTTAAAAATTAGTAGAGACTTAAACATAGCACAAAATATTATAAATTTATATTAATAAAAAAAATCTATAATTTTACTCTTTATTTAGGTGCTCAACGATAAATGTTGTTTTTTATTTTCACATCTTTGGCATAAGAAAACACGGGATTTTCCAAATTTATACCTCAAATCTGCATTGATTGCTCTTGAGATTTATTTTTTGTCATTGCAAAGCAGTATGATTCGGTAATTGCAATCGTTTAAAATTGAATAGCATTAAATATCAAAATCTATTTTGTTTGTTAAAATTATATAATATATACCTTTCTATATCTGTTATTTTATTTTTATTTTTTGACTTTGAATAGTCCAATTGAGTTCGGACTAGTTACGAAATACATGGAAACGCATTCAATTAGTTCATCTTTGATTTTTGTGCTGCACCAAACATTTACGTAAAGAGAGATCAGACACGTTTTAACCTCAACAACTAATGTACCATTTGAAATCTCTAACAATTGAGCTCATCTTCCGGTGTTGAGCGAGGAATAACTGGTAATATTTATCTAACATTACCATCTAACAATATCAATACACCAGCATCATGATAACACAATGAGAATAAAATTATGATTAAGTAAAAACACCAGAAACAAATAAATAAAATAAAATTGAATCGGGGTGGTCTAGCGATTGGTATCTTTTTAATTTTCTACGATGGTGATATTGTCCAGCAGTTGAATCGCAAATATATTTTCATGCTTTCTTCTAATTTCTAATATTCTATTTTGCAAGTATAGGTATTGATAATTTTTCCTTTAATTTAAATAATAGTTATAGATGCTAAACTTTGTCAAATGCTTGGCGAACATCAAGGATCACAGCAGAGCAGTATTTATTATTTTCCATAGCATCAGCTATAAAGTATTCTACCTTATTAATTTGTGCAATAGTGCCATGAATATTTCTGAAACCAAAGTGAAGCTCCGAATAAGCTGTTTGTATTTCAGCACCTGCAAAAGCCTACGTAAAAATATTTACCTTAAAAATAAATACCTTAACAATTATGTTGATTGCGTTTTCGGGTAACCAACTGCCGCGTTGCTTGTTCCATCAATAAACTCTTTAGGAGTAAACGTGTTTTGGAGGTGTGTGGCAAACACACTTCGGCTTTCTGTGCACCAATGGTGTCTGCTGTTTAAAATTGGTGGGAATTGGTTGGGTCGGCTTATTGTTTTGTCTATTCCCATTCCAAAGATTTTTTACTGGATCTCCTGATTTCTCACCAACCAGAAACGCTTCTAGAGACTTGTTGCGCAAATTGCAGAGAAAGTGCCTTTGTGGCACAATTAAGAAATGTTTTAATATTGGGATTTCTACTGACTTGCCATGCGTGCCGAAGAAGTCTCTTCTCTCTCAGCTTCGTCATTACATCACAGAACCAGAGATGTCTGTCCCGCTTGTGAACGTTCTATGTGGTTCTATCTTCTGGCATACTTATATGGGCATCACTGTGTCTGCTTCTGGTCAAGACTTCCGCAGCATAATCGGTATCTGCTCCAGGGGAAATTGGGATGTTGGGGTTCACATTTTCTTCTAACCATTTACGATAATGGTGGGTTTATTCATTGCGAATACCGGCTTATCTGCTTCGAGCAGAACTGCGCTATGATCAGATAGGAAATCCGAATTGGACGCAATAAAGTGGCATAATTTCCAGTTGAAGCAAGTGCTAAAAAAATTAACACTTTAACAGTGTTTGAATTTTGGCTAACAGTAAATGTGTTTATAATTAAAAGTTAACTGAAGAATTTGTTGTATCAAGACCACTTATAAAAAATGTAAAACTATGAAAAKTAAAAAAAATGTATGTAATGTATTTGATGAAATGTTTTTTTATGTGAAGCATCGTCATATTAATTATCAAT